TTTTTTTAGCTTAAAATTTAATTTTATGAGTATTTTATAATTTAATTTCACCTAAATATGAAGATTAAAGAACAAATTAAATAAGAATTAATTTTTTAACAAATGATAATTTGTATATATTATAGTAATTTAATCATCATTTTTTCTTCAGATACCAAATTGAGGTGATTCTCGAAACATTAAAAATTTAAAAAGTAAAACTATAATTTATCCTTCACAAGCTAAACCCACTTCAATAAATTTCAAGACAGAATTGCAGTTGGAATGCGCGGCTTTGACACAAAAGAAAGCTGGGCAGGTTGCGAAAAGAAAAAAAAAAGGAAAACTGGGTTGACTTTCAGGTTGTGGGCTGGCAACATACCAGGCCCAAAAAGTTCGAATCATCTATATATATATGCATCTCTCCGCACAGAAGGAGGTCGCTGCCCCAAGACCGACCCCCGTCTGTTTTCCTTCTCTTCTCCTGTGCTGCTTCTTAAACATCTGCAGAGGGGGACGATGCAGCAGCCTCTGTTTTTCTTCTCTTCTCCGCCAGCCTTGCTTGGGAAATCTGCACAGCAGCACGCCATTGAGGAAGAAGTTGCAGTTCGGCTTTGCTCTTCATCGGGACTGGTTTGTTCATTCGAAATCTGATTTTTACAATGATTCTTTACTGGTTTTTCTTATTTATGAAACTTTTTTATTTGTAGTTAAATTTTTTGAGCTAGGGTTGGATGTATATTTTAATAACTGTGCGTTAAACCATAAAATTAAATTGAGAGGTAATTAGTTCACATGATAGTGGAGAATAACTAAAATAGAAATATCTGTAATGTCATACCAGAAAACTTTGCAGAATAGCATGTGCGTTCACATGAAATCGTTGAATTGAATTAAGATTAAAAAAAAACTTAAAAATTAAAAAATATTGGGAAGAAAGAACGAGAGACTTAAAGAGAGTTCCACAAGTTTCTCATAAACGAATATTTCATCCCCTCAGGCCAGTTGGAAGCAGTATACCTACACAACCGAGTTGATCTTATTTGATCTTTTCCTCTCTAATTTTCGCATATCGTAGCCAATTAATCCTTTCTCCAGGCCATCTGTTGCCTCTACTCGGGAAACAAGTCTCACGCTGAAAGCAGTAGCTGGTAGCTTTAACTTCTTTTTCTCAACTGTCATTCCCAACTTCCCAAGGTAAACTTTACTTAAGCGCAAATACTACATTTTCTTACACAAGGTTCTTAAGTTATCTATATAAATAATCACTTCTTCAGCCAGATGAAACCATTACCCTTATCAAAAACTTCTTCCTTTTAATAATTTCTAGATTCTAACCATATCCAATCCTTTCTTGCATCTGCATTGCATATCTCTCTCTCTGCTATCAAGTCTCAATGCACATACCAAATGCTTGTAACATAAAGAGCCCTAGCTTTCCCCTGAACTAAAACACCCAAATAACTCTGTCTCATTTATTAATTTGAAGGGAAAATCAAATCCTTATTATTTTTAGTACTGTTCGTATATATATGTATATTTTTTAACTCATACTTTTATTTTCTAGTAAGATCAAAGAGCCCGAAGAAAACATTTCACCCAGAATATGGCAGATAATGTAGATGGAATTTTAACATCAAGAAGGATGCAGAGAAATCTCAGGAGTTCCATTTGCAGAATTCCAAGCATGCTCAAAATGCGAGATGAATGGGCGTATAAGCCCCATGAATTTTCATTTGGTCCCTGGCACTTCCACGAACCAAAGCTGATGTTGGCTACAGAACAATTCAAAGAGATGCTTTTCGAAGGACTAATTCAGCGCTTAGTTGAACGCCAACATGTAAATGTTGAAGTAGACATGTCGGTGGGTATCAGAGAAATATTGAAAAATGCCAGGTCGGACAAAAAAAGGGAATTGGAAGAAGCCATCAAAGCGGTGGGGAGCAAGGCTCGTGAATGTTACGAGGGAGACACTAATGTTACTCAAGAGGAATTCCATAAACTCTTGTTACTTGATGGTTGCTTTGTTATCGAGCTGTGCCGGAAGGGAGCTGGAGAGGTATCTATACAGGAAAGTGAGTATAAACTCTTCTCAAGTGGTATGATTCTGACTATTTATCATGATCTATTTTTGCTAGAAAACCAAATACCTTGGTTTATACTTGAGCACTTGTTTGACAAGACCAGAGGCCCCGAAAGCAGAATGACTTTGGTTGAACTTGCTATCACATTCATCCGTTCGGCATTCTCACTTGATGATGATCAACATCCGATAACAAAAGAGCTTCTTGCCAGTGGCTCAAGCATCGTTCATATCGTTGATCTTACAGGACGTTATTTGGGTTCCTCAGCAAAAAAGAGAAAAGAACAGCAGCCGAAGCAGTCGCAATCCAGGATTAATTGGGGATGTTGTTTGGGTTCCTCAGCAAAAGAGAGAAAAGAACAGCGGCAGAAGTAGTCGCAATCCAGGATTAATTGGGGATGTTATTTGGGTTGCTTTGCAGATGAGAGAAAAAAACATGAGTCGCAATCCCTGATTAATTCTATTCCTTGTGCCACTAGACTTAGAGAGGCAGGAGTCAAATTTGTAAGAGTACTTAAAGAAAGAAACATATTGGATGTAAGATTCAACAAGGGTGCTCTTGAAATACCAACTTTGGTGATTCATCCAGCTACGGAAACA